GACTGGCTCTCTTACAAGGATATGACACTTCGACTGACCCTCTTAGGTCAGCGCTATTATGATGCTGGGTGGGGGTGGCAGGAAAGGGAAATAGAGAGGGTGACGGAGGGAAAGGACAAGGGAGTCCCTCAGAGAGACATTTAAAGTTTGAGGAAGGAAGTCTGAGCGAGAGGAGAGATAATGAGGGAACGATGTGAATGGAGGAAAGAGGAGTTTGGCCTATTAAAGTGATAGAGATTCAAATAATGGACTGAAAGCAGGAAAAAAAAGAATGAACAAATTTAGAGTGCCTTCAAGAACATTATATTTGTAGATTTTTAGTGAATTGTCTCGCTTAGCTTAGGTGAAAATTAATTCAACAAGGACGTGACTTGCAATTTTAGCCAAGCAACTCAAGTGCCATAGTATACTGGGGACTGATTCCTAAATCACCATAACAATTGAGCAATTGCAGTAATAATGTTTGCCCATCCTTGGAGGCTTCAATTACTATGCTGTATTTATTTTGTGTGATTGGAATATGCTGAGCTCTTTCAAGATGAATTTGCTGAAAATGAGTTTTAATGCAGCAGGCCTCTGTGACCCCCGCAATGAATCTAAATTCCATTTAATCGAGAGGGGAGCCCTGGGAGTTGCCACATGAGACAAATATATATGCTCGTCTCCAGAAGACGCTTATTCATCATGATAATAATTTCAACGCTTCAATTAATATGACAGCATTATTTGCATGTGCCACTGCTATGCACACCTGTTTGCCAGTCGGTCTGGGGAAAACAAAAGGGAAGCGAGGGCTGCCGTGTTGTGATAAACATGTCCTTAACCTGCTGCAAAGAGCTGCTAATCAGTCATGATAAGCAAATATGTAAACAAATGTGTATTTCATATGTGAACGGGACCTCAAGTTTCAACTAAATCATGTATACATCCAAGTGTATTCATCAAGTTGGCATTAACAACAAATGTTTCTCTGCTACTTCTGGATAGTTATGCAAAAAAAAAAACAATTTACAGGTAAAAAGCTTTCAACTGAATAATGATTTACATCACATCAGCTCAAACACTGTTAAAGAGAAATAAGAAAAAAATCATTTTAAAAGAATATATCTTTCTGAAATTCCACTGTCGCTACAGAAGACAACCACAAGCATTAGTTGAATTTTTGCTTTTAACTGTGGTTTAATTTCTGCACTGAACTGACCTGATTCTGAACAAGTCACGGCCACCATTCACCCTCTCTGATCAAAGAGTTTTTCAAAAAGAACAGGCAAGTTGTTGAGACATTCAAATTGTTTGCCACTGTTTGATACAAGGGTCATAGAATAGGGTGCTGAATTGGTGTAGGAATGCACGTAACTGCACATACACCGCTAACATTTGTACTGGACGCTATTTTCTGTATCTTGACTTTTAGTGGCAACAAAAAGGTAAAATGAACAGCAAGGTTGAAATCAAAACACAGCGATGTCTCAGTTTGTCAGTATCAAAGCGCTACTGCAGTATGTAAATGCAGTCAAAGGGAGGAACTTGATTTCCAAAACAGAGACCTCTGTTCCCTTGAAAGCAAACTAAGGTTTTGAGGTTGAAGGGGTCACACAACAAGATAAATAATTAACAATTCATAAAAGAGAAACGGAATAATCCTCTAGCCAACTCTTCCCACTACGGCACAGAAGTCACAGTTTTAAATTGGCTGGTATTTTTCAGAGACACAAACGTGCTGGCCATTTAAATTTCTCCTGTGGGCTTGTTTGTTTATTTCTTTCACTTTGGGGAGAGAAGCTTCTTCTCATCAGATTTTATGGTGCAGTGTCAAAACAAAGGAAACCACCAAATAATGCCCTTATTGCATTCAGTTTGACATGAGCCTAAAGCTGCAGTTTTCAAATTCAGATGATATGCTACTGTATTCCACCCAATCAGTACAGAAGCAACGGCAAGAGGCAAATCCATGGTTTGTCTTTATATGTAGTCCATATAAGTTGAGAATCGCTATACAGTTTGCATTTAATCACTGGTTGTATTGATAAGCTGTAATTGCCGATTTGAATTTCAGTGGGCTAATTTATGGTATTGAGCTGAGCGCAGCAAAGAACAGCAAGTTCTAATGCCACCTGAAATTACTGGACTTTGTTAATGTGTTGATACCAGAGTGTTTCACTTTGAACAGCTATAGGTCTCACAAAATAAAATAGTTTGACTTTTAGTCTCTAGTATGGAACAAGCCCAAATAATGTGGATCTTACAATTCTCGTTACAACTGAATACCATTCTCAATTAGATCCTCCTTGTCTCCTAAATGTTCACTTTACTCCCAAAGACTGCATTTAAAGGATGGACATAGCATCTGGGGCTGAAAACTGAAGACATAAGTGATTTAAATCTGCATTCTCTCCAATGGTCAGCAGGGGGCGACTACTTAGGTTGCCAAAAACAGACGATTGTATGGAAGTCTCTGAGAAATTGACCCAACTTCTTCCTTGATTTATTAGTTCAGTAAACAATTTCCCATTTAATTAATGATCTCAAGCATCAGTTTCCAGCCTTTCAATATAGCATGATCTTAATTATGTAAACTATGGTTTCATTTGGAGTAAACTAGATGATACAGCAGTTTAGGGTGTAACTACCTTATGATTGACAAGTCCCTGCTGTATGGGCATGCACAGTGTCCTCAAAGTTCTCAGTCCTGTGCCACAGAACAGAATCTGTTTTCACAGGCTAAATGGTTTTAATGGTGAATAAACTAAAATATATGTGTAAATCCAAGTGGTGTCCCATAAAAACCATGTTTATCAACAGTTATATCATTAAATGTTAATTGGCAGCAAAGTTACAGAGGAAACACCACTCCTACACACACAGACATGTGAAAATAGTTACGACTAATTACACTCAATATACATTTTCCATCTCTGGGGAATATGGAACAGCTGCAGCTCATTCACAAAATCCGCAGCCAGAGTTTTAACAGGGACTTAATAAAGGAATGGCATTACGCCCCCTCCTCAAATCACTGCATCGGCTTCCAGCACACAGCAGAATTTATTGAAGTTCTCTGAAGCACCACAATATGTGTTCAACACTGTTAAAACTTTGAGCCATCCAGCCTGCTCCAATCATAGCGCTGGTCTGTATTTATGGTCAGTTGAAAGTCTAATGCAGCTACCTTTGATTTTTTTTTTTTTTGTGCTCTTGGTTGCTGAAACAGCTTTCCTGGGAGTTTGAGATGTGTTCATTTTTTTTTGGAAAAGCTGCCTCAAGACATGTCTTTTCCTGTTGCCTTTCAATAATTAGCATCATATCTTCACCACTGAATAGTTTGCTTTCAGATTCATATCCTTTCTTGTTTGCTTGCTGTGATGGTGCAGTTTGTGTTTTTTTTTCCTCTTTCTCTTTCTGTGCCATTTGTCATTTTCTTTCAAACCACACAGTTTCCCCTTGTGTATCAAATGTGCTACAAGGTTACATTTGGCTTGCGATGCCTTGCTGGCTGGCTACATGTGCTGCTGCCACTGGGAGGTAAACTAGCTAGCTAGCAGCTGCTGCGCCCTGGAAGGCTGCAGGCACTGACTGTAGGATGAGGACTTGTGTACTATTCTTACTCTTATTAGTGGCTTTAATGCCTTTTGCTTTTTCTCTAAATTTAGTAAGACTTTTAAACATATACAGCTTTTAAACATGCCACTTTCTTTCAGATCTTGACAGCAATTATGTGTTCATATCAATATTTTAATCAATAATGACAGAAATAAAGTATAATTTAGAATATGAATGAAATACTGTCATTATGGGTTTGACAGAAATAGGTCAGATAGAGGTACCATACATTGGCCACACAATTAGCCAAGGCACTTAAAGGTACATGGTACTTCTGCATGTCAGCTGTCTGCTGTATTTTCTACCATGGCAGATCATTTACATTCAAATAGTTTTCCTACACGAGTGCAAATTCACAGTCTGCAGCGACGTCTGAGTAACAAAGGAACATTTAGAAATCAAAGCAAGCATTACAAAGGCTTATTCCATTTTTTTTTTTGCTGAAAATATTGGTATGACTGTGTACTATGTGTGCACATTCATGTGGTTTTATGTATTTTTTTGTCAAATGTCACATTTTTACAGCAATGACTCTCCTACTGAGCCCCACGCAATCTCTCCTTACCTGTAATTCTTTAATGGCAATGGGTCTATAAAGAATTGCATGTAGTTACAAGACATATGATGTTAAATTCATCAAGTGACACTTGCTAAAAAACATCTCTGAATTGATGATCTTTTCTCATTGTACAGAGATTTCTGCAGCAGCAACTCTGTTCACATCCTTCGAATATCTGTATTCATCCATCCTCTCATCTATTGAGGGCAGAACAGTGGGAAGTCTTTGTTGCAGTTGCGACAAAATATAGAAACAAGGGAGCCAAGATGCCCGTCTTTGATGCCATCAGTTTTGAATGTCAAAGACCACTGGAATAATATTTCTGTTTGGACTACCGCTTTAGGAAACATGACCTGAGCCACAAAGAATTGTCTAGAAATAGAAGTCTAACATCGCAGTTCCATAAAAAATGAATGAGGCCATCTCGATGAAAAGTTCAAAAGAACCCTCTCGCCATTCTGTCTAATGTTTTCTTTGTGCTGGGCTTACTCGGGGTGCATGCGTGTCACAATTGAGAAAAGATTAGGATTTGCCACTAATTCTGACTGACTCTTGCATTAGTGTAACTGTCAGCATGTGTGTGTTTGTTAATGTTTTCAATAAGAGGTAAACTGAAATATATTTTAGCCAAGAGGGCTGATAGCTCATTGACTCTTGTTGTTTTTCTCGGCAAAGCAAGAGGAACCAGACGATACCGAAAGTGCGCAACCCTGCAAGCAAGCCCATGTGTCTTTTGCCTAATATGTTTGCAGAGACGCCAAGAAAAATGGGATTTCTTCATTGTCAGTGCTTCCCCCGCAATGTAAAATGACCCTTGAATTACTGAGTTAACAGGACTTACCAAGGCTGAACTCCACCTGAGGCAGCTTGGGTGTTAGAATAACACCTGCAAGACAGAGAAAGCAAGAAAGATAGAGTGGAGTTGAGATAAAAGCGGAGGGAGTGGGAGATAAAAGGTAAGGAAGAAAAAACATTAGAACAATGAAAGAGACAGAGGAGATAACGGATATAGAACGTGAGCTGTTGTAGTTTCACTTTGCTTTGGTTTTAGAAGTGTAGAGCTGCAACTAATGAACGTTTTTCTTTCATGACTAATCTGTCAATTACTTTTTTTAAATACATAATTTATCTATAAAATGTTACACAACAGTGAAAAATTGCCATCACAAATTCCTGGAGCTCATGTTGGCATGACATTAACTTTTCTATCCAAAACCCCAAGACATTGAATTTAAAATGACATAAAATGAGAAAACAAATCATCACATTTTCCTACAGGGAAACTGTAATGGTTCTGCATATTTTTCTTTCTTAAATGAATATTTATCAAAAATCTTGATGAATTTCTACAATTGACATTTGATTGATTAGTTGAGTCCTTAGAACCCTCAAGTGTTCCTTTATTGTAAATTATTGGGGACAGACACAGAATATAAAGTAGAATAAGGGGTTGAAATCGAACCACGGAGTAAGCAAGCTATTTTAAAATGGCTAAAATAGAGACAGTAACAAGACAGCATTTAACTGTGGTAGGAGCATGACAGGCTCCCAAAATGCCACAGTGATAAATGTAACTGTTCATTTCGATTATGCTGCAAAACTGCAATATTTGTGAGTGTCAGAAAACATGTTTCTAGGTATCCATTGTCCTTGAGGGCTTACGCCATAATGATGAGTAGAGGACTGACTGCTTCTATCATCTGTCTCCAGTGCTGTCTCTCATTCATCACATTCCCAGTCTGACAGAAGCATTCAAACACCTAACAGATGAAACACCTGCATGATGGTGCAACACGTAGAGGGTCCCTAAACCACAAAATGGCATTTTCCTCTTCCTGGGGTGCTTGGACACAATTGGCCTCTCTAAGCCTCATCAACTCCGCTAATGGGCCATGGATACTCGATGCTTACTGATGTATGGGAGCCACACGACTCTAGGTAATAGACATTTTACATAATGAGGACCATTCACAAAGACTAAAAATGATTTACTTGTGTTTTACAATTATCTCAGTCACTATGCTTTATTGGCAGCTTTACCTGTATGCCAGTTCAGGTCAGTTTGCAAAGCCTTGTGTCACAAAGCATGTCTTTCATGTTTTTAGTGTGTATAAAAGATGGACATTGCGACCGTGAAAGCACCCGTTGGTTTGTGTTTTGAGGCTTGAGATGGACATTTGGTCATTGCCATCTTGGTTTTCTGAAACTGGACATAACAGGGTGGATCTGATGATGTGGTGGCAACTTGCCCTGCCCGAAAACATATCCTGCAAGTCTTCAAAGTAGGGATTGAGACCATAAACGCTTCGGAAAACATTCACTGAGGTAACGTATTAAGTGAGAAATAGGTAATTTCTTTAGAATTCAAAACAGTTTAACTTATCTTTGCAACTAGAGGAGTCGTCCTCTGCTGGCCATTATGATAATGCAGTTTTAGGGCACTTCTGTGTTGTCTTTTCAGACCTACAGGCTGCATCCAGCTTTTATTTACAGTCCATGGTTTATATGTAGAATGAGTGCTCTTAGATCGGGTGAAGAGTTTTGCAAGAAAAAATGTTTATCATTCATAGGAACACTATGATAGGAAAGTGAAAAAACGCATCCGTACTAAATTCCCATTGGTCATGTCCAAGTATCAAGAATGCTGGTGGTCAGTGACCGTCAGTGTTTCTTATCAACATCTCTGGTTTACTGTACGTCTTGGTGCTTTTGTTTCTAGAGATAAATGTAGTACTGTCCAATATCACATTCATGTAATGAATTATGTTTAGGGTGGATGAATCATTTAAACACAGTCTGTTTGTTTAGTTTTTTTTAATTTGAGTCTTTTAATTGCATTCTTTGAAATGTTCATTTAAATTCATGCACCAATGGTAGAAAGACTGCGAATGAATAACAAAACATACAAAATTATGGAAATCAGAGGAATTATCTGGTGCCCTGCTGAGAGTCCCTTGCCGAGTGATGCCAAGAAAACCCACAGCACAGTAACTAAAAAAACACAAGCAATATATAGTGCATTTCTAATTTCGACGAATATGTTGGCAAACCTGTGAATAAAACTTTAATTTGCATGCATTTTCTCACATTACCAATGAACTGGGAACTGTCAGCTGCTGTACTTGTCACAATGGGCTACATTAGAATAATCAGGCTTATGCAAACTTAGTGCAATATCTGTTACGCATACATGTATAGTAAACATCTAATTAATCAAGGGCACAAATAAACACATGAGGAAGTAAACACACACACACGCACACGGTTACCCAAATACAGCAATTAAGTATGTAAATAAACTGTGTGTCGCTATCTGGTTTTAACATTACCCTCATCATCCTCATCGTCTCATTCCTCAGGGGTCATGTCGTCTGATGTTGTCACCATTAAGGCTTCCTTGTGAGTGCAGATGAAACTTTAATAAGCCCGGGTGACATGTTGTGTGGTGGCAACAGAGAGCCCTTTAGCTAGGTGGGCTGAGACTGTGCCAGCTGTTAGGTCCCGTCTCTGGTGCCACGTTATCATAAGGGACTGTCACTTGGACGGCCCGGTTACTTTGGAGGACTCCATCTGCGCTAGACACCAACTTATCTTGAGTGGTAGGAAGCAGTGGAAAACGCTTGTCATTGCAGAAATAATTAAAGATAAGGAGTAAAGCTAAGTCTGGGTCTGATATGGGTTCAGGATACTGATCATGAGAAACACGTGGCAAAGCAAGTGGATGTATTTGATAGCGAGGCAGGAGGAGGATTGGAATTCAAAGCTGTCTGACTTTTAAAGCGCAGCTCGTAGGTAGAGTGTCAAGTATTTATAGAAGGATCATGAGGATGCTTTGATTATAAGACAGCCAACACAGGTTATGTTGCATCTTTTGAGAATGAAGACTGACTACATGATGTTAAACAGCGTTCCAGCAGAGCTCTGGAAAACTGTCACATGTCCGCAGTGCTTCAGTATCCACAGTTATTACAATCACGGACAAATTATGCAACCTGAGGACACAGCACCTGTTATGTACGCAGTGACCTCATTCTTGTCCTGGAGCACTGAACACAGCACATGTCATTAACCCCATGGTGCAAATCTGCCTGACCAAAACAAATATGCAGTCTAATCACAGCAATTAGACATTACATGGAGAGAGGTAAACCACCTGTACCGTCCGTCTCAATCATTTCTCCTTCAGCATACGAGGCTCGCAGCTCCACTGCGTAGATAAGTGTGCGGAGAAAAGTGGCACAGGTGTGGTATTTATAATCGATATCCGCTGGCATTATGAATATGGTAATAGGCTCAGCAAGGCGGCAGGCAGGCAGGCAGGCAGCACATGCAGATGTAACTCCCAGAGGGGCCCAAAGCAAATGAGGTGTGCCCGCCTGCTATACTGCAGTTTCATCTGGCTCTAGAAATAACAGCACAGCCCCACTGTACCTCCAATCTATCAGCCCCCTGTCTGCGGGTGGTATCAGTGGGGAAAAAAGCACGCTGAAGGCAGAGGAGAGGGTAATTTATAAGGATGTGAGCAGACTAGGTGATTTCTCTAGAATGACAAAGTTAATTAATGTAGAGGGACTTAAATTGTCCGTCTTGCAGATGATCATTTAACCCTCTTCACTTCTCATTGCCCTGCTTCCTCACCCACTGTACAGCATGATAACCACTCACCAGCGTGTAGCAGACAGTGAACGGGGGAGGTGGGGGTTGGAGGTAGGAAATGTGGAGGTGTACATTTTACATGGGATTGCTGCTTGTTCCTGACTCCACAAAAAAAAAATAATTGCGCAGAACTCCAAAATGCTGCCTGCCGCTGCACCGGTCCCTATCATACGCTACCAGCTCGAGTACGAAAATCAGGCAATTTCCAAATAGAGCTTGGATAAACCACCTTGCAGTGGGTATAGTACACATTCCTAATCACTTCTGCTTATCCTCTTCATGAATAGAAATTACATATAAAAGCCCACGCCTAAGAACAAATCCTGTTCATATTTTTTATATTATCTCCTTTTGGATTCTGAGGTGATACTAATAATTCACTTATGTGTCTGGCTCACACTGGGCTTTGATATTTCAGGGGTATTACTGGCTGCCTCTCTAAACCGTTCCACCTCAACCGCCAACTGACTCACCCTCAGTACACAAGCACACAGGTACACGCACACTAATTGCCACATTTCTTTCTCCTTTTGTCCAACCTCACTCGCCTTACTTCCTCTCTTTGCTGTTGTTAAAATTGTCTAAACAACACCTGCACATCCTTTCTGATGATTCAGTCATCAGCCAGGCTAACATACCTCTAACTCGATTGATGTTTGCACAGACAGGCATCCCATTAGGACAAGTGGTACTGAATGGGAGAGTGAGTTATCGTCACATTACTGCTGTGGGAGATTGAGAGGGGACAGATGGTTTTGTTGCCAGCGTTTAATGAAGTGTTGTGAATCAGTTGGATGTGCTGAGGAGGTCTTGAGTGTCACGCCGATGAGAGATGTAGTGTGGAGGGTTAACAAGGGCACTGAGTGAGACATTTCCCTTCACAATAGTTTTGTCGTGTTGAGTATTGCGCAACGAGGCTTCCTTCAATTATGCTGCAGCTTTTATTGAAAAGCTCTCGTGTAAAAATGCTGGTACAAATACTTAATAGCTAAAATAACATAATTTTACCCCTTGTGGTGGGGAGTTTGTAAAATGCCAATTCATCTCCACCTTAATAAGCACTGAGCAGCGCCACTTTGGTCCCACTTTTGTTTCTGTCAAGAAACAGGAGATAAACTATTTCACCTTGCTACTGATAATGCACGGTTGTCAACCTGTCTTTTGTGCCAAACATGGTAATTGCATGCTTTGCTCTTCCCTTTTGTCTCCCAGGATGCTTAAGGAAAACCAAAACAGAGGCGCAGCGAGTTGTTTGTCATTAGTGTTGCACTCCCACACCTGTCAGATGTCATCTATAAAACTGTGCATATGATTTAACGGCAGTGCACATCAAGGGTTTGCCATCGGGTCATAGCTGTTACTGTGTGGCCATGTGCGTGTCTGTGTGTGTTAATGCACCTGTGTGTACACATTTCCTTTTTTCTAAAGGTGTGTGCGCTTGCATGTGTGTAATTGTTCATGTAAGCTGCTTCACCAATGTATCTGTGTGGTTTGAGGCAAAGGAGACAAGGCATCATGAATTGCGCTTTCATTCCTCTTTGTACAGCTCCATTTGCTTATTCCCATGGGGGAGATGACGGTTTTGAGCTTGCATGCCGATGCAAATGCTTAGCAGCGCTGCATGCAGCGTCTGTCCTTTTAGTAAGCAAAGGTATTAAACTTGGAGAGCAGGCTTTGTGGCTTCACTGATATGGATAATCTCTTCAGCATTCTCCTGTAGTGATGGGCACTAAGACATCTAGTTTGCCTCTGCCAGTGCTCATTAGTGACAACACATTCTGCCTATATGGAATATGGCTGCAGTAAAAATGCAAATGCGCCTTCACATACACACAGGAACACACACAAACATGCATCCACACATATGCACACACACACGCACAAACAAATGCGAGAATTTTTAGACTCCAGCATGTAAACATTGTTTTTCAAGCTTTTCTCTGTTGAGCCACTGAATTAAATCCAGGTTTTCCAAAAACTAGCTAAGGCAATGAAAATTAATTGGAGACCTGCAGTATGAACAGTAAGTTTTAAAAGTCCTCTGGCAGGGTTTTGGGAGACTCTTGTTTATTAGGGGATCAATATGATATTGCTAAAAATACCCACAGTTCCAGTGTCACGAGTAAGACATTTTGGAGTGATTCTTTTGTCATTTTTGCACTAATCGAAATGTTGGCCGTTCGAACTGCACGCCGAAGTCGAAATGTCCTTGAGCGAGACGCCGAACCTCAATTTGCTCCGGATGGGAGGCAAGCGTGCAGATGCACGGCAGCTGTGCCGTTGGTGTGTGAGTAAGTGTTTGACTGGGTGAATGAGAAACACATTATAAAGCACTTTGTAGAATCAAGCTGAGGTTAAAAGGCGCTATATACATGCGGACCATTTACCATAATTAATGTTCTTGTGCTATAATTACAACAATAGGGTACCTGCACCAAACTCAGTGACTTGGTTAAGGAACAGTATGTAGCTTTTGCTGAGCCAGACACAACGGCAGCCTCTGTGGCCACAAGCTGTAATAACAGGATTCTGCTGCAGGTCGCCACTAGGACACAGCTGACCAACTGTTCATCGAACAAACACAAACTTACCATCTCAATACAAACCAGCAATTACACTGTGTACAGCAACAGGCAGCATAGGGTGGTGTGTGCTCCAGCACAAAGTCAATAGTTTACACATTAGCTCACTTTTGTACTATTTACCCTCCAAACTTTAGGATCATTAACCATGTATACAAACAGAAACGAAAGGAAAATGTAATCCCCACACCAAACTGTCACTTCAATGCTTTTTGTCAGTGTAGAGAAGTGAGTACACCCCTCTGAAAAATCCCTTCCATGTCAAATGATTTTAAATTACATCACGTCTCATTAACTGCATTGTTTCTAAATTCACAAGTGGAGTAGTTTGCTTCATTAACAATCAAAAACAGATCATTGCTAGACTATATTAAAATCATATAAAATGCAGTTGCAGCTTTAATTACAAGGTAAGGAATGATCTACAGTACAAAAAATCTGAGGTGCAGGGGCCGTCCTCTTAAAATGATGCCACTGACAGTCTGCTGCTTTACAGTTTATGTCTGAAAACAGATGAGCAAATGCTTCAGATACAGGAGATATCAACTGGAATTGGAGTTTCTTTGACAGCCAGTGTCAAGGACATTGCATAACATGAGCCTCTATAGACGGCATTCAAGAAGCAATCTCTTGCAGTGCTAAAATGCAAATTAACTAATTAATTAAATAATCAGTCAAACTTTGCAAAAAATGCATAGAAAGAAGCTTGATTACTATTGGGAGCACATTCTTTGATTAGATGAGACCAAGATACATTTGTTTAGCTCAGGTAGGCTCCAGCATGTTTGTTGATGTGTGATGATACGGGGCTGCAAAGTGCAAAAGGTGTTTGATAGAAAACATTCATAGATGACACCGTTGGATGTCTGTTGTTAAACCAAAATTCTGGCTGATAAGATCAGTCCGAGTACAGGGCTCTAGTCTGCGACCAAAACGGGCACATTTGCAACCTTTTTTTGAGAGTATGCGAGTTAAAATTTCAAGCGGTCGCATTGGTGTGAATGCATGATGATCATTAAGTTGTATTAGTGTCGCTGTAACCGGCACAGGAAGCTGCTGTGTGGACCACCGTGGTGGGAAGCGGTACTTTTATAACTTCGGTGTACTGTGCTATTCTCGTGAAAAACTGACCGCTTTTTTCCACTCAGAAAAAGGGACATGTAAAAAAAACAATAATAATAACAATAATAATCACTCGGTTTCATTTTGGACAAATCTGACATTAGAATGCCCTAGTTGATTATTTTTAAAGTAATTTTTGGTTGCATACCTGTCTGAGCACACCACAGATACCAACAGCAGCTACCGCAGCCTGCACTGTGGGGCGTTCAAGGTAAATTGTAGAGTCTATCGATAAGAAAATGCTCAGCAAGTCATATGTTTTGCCTGTGACAAGGTGGGAGGTGCAACCAAATGAGAAAGTTGGTCACATCAGTGCTACCAGTGAAAAAGTTAGTCTGGAGCCCTGCAGTAGGAAATTATTAAAAAATAAAAAAATAATAATACTTGAAGTGTTTTTTTCAATGCAGTAAAACTTAACTTTTTATTTTCAATTTCATGCCAGAGCAAATACCCTACTGTTGTAAACTGCAGCAGAATCCAGTGTCAGGAGTTACTGCATGTCATCACTTGAGTTAAACAGATGCAACCTCTGCCCATACTTTCACTGCAACAGATGATCTCCCCTTGCTGGACAAGACGCACTGCCCCACCACAAACACTGCTCAAGAACCGCTCAAGGAACATTACAAAGATCCAAAGGCATTCCCCCAGGCTTCAATCTGCCCAGATCCCAATCTGATCCAACATCCAAAGAATCTGCCCAAACAAGTCTGATACATGGAAGCCCCAACCCGCCACCCACAGGATCCACTGCTGACATCCTGGTGTCAGACGCCAGCTGAGGTTCAGCACCCTTACAGGTCAGAGATGTTTTGGTGGCACAAAGGAGACCTTCACAATGTTAGACAGGTGGTTTTGAAGCCGTGGACATAAGCGGAAGATGTTACAGCTGAACAATTATTCAATTTCAAATCGAAATTGCAATTTCAAACAATTCAGCACATCGCAAAGATTCCAATAGACAGTATGAATAAGGCAGAGTGTCTGACCCTGAGTTTGGTCAAACTCATTTGGTTCTCCTTGTGTGGCATTTGACCTTTTGATCTTAGCCTATGTGGTAATGCGCCATCACACATTGAAAATCTATTACACACTTTGTACTGACCAAAAGCCTGACTTTAAAAAATTATATTGCAAATCGAAATTGCTGTCAGAAAAATCGCAACTAGATATTTTTCCCAAAAATCTTTCAGCCGAAGAATATGATAATAGCTAATATTACTGACTAGTTTAACAGCAGGAAGGCTATCTTTAAGCCTTTTAAGTCACAAAATGCTAGCCAACAATTACAAGCCGGTCCAAAACCTAGCCTTGTCCGGCCTCTGACCTGGTAACTTTTTTTTTCTTCTTAGCTTCCTCTGTTAATGTCCTCTTTGCTGTCTTTGCCATGACATCAGCACAAAGAATCTTCTTTTGGGGCAGCCAGCGTTAATATGATATTTGTAGTGAGAATGCAGAGCTAGCTTCGTCTTATAGCTACTTGAAGACCCAGTTGTGTGACGTACGGCATTAGTGCATGAAGCATTGACTTCGTATTTTCGTATTCGCGCACCCAAGTGACATTGTATCAAAAGAGTCAGGGTGGTGTTGGGGTGGAGGAGGGGATAGGTCAAACAGTTACACTATTCTATTCTATTCCTTTCTCCCTATTACAAGTCGGTGCACCATTAAAATGCTTCTGGAGCAGTTATTATAAAGTAAAGTAGTTGCATAATGTTGCTTAAAAATTCTTCCCGCCTGCACTTTTACTGGTACCTCACCCATTGCTTTTGCTCTCAAACACACACACACACACACATACACACACACATACACACACACACGCACACACACACTCCCTCTCTCTCTCTCTCTCTCTCTCACACACACACACACACACACACACTGTATGCATTTTAGCAAGAGATAATCTCTGCAAACACACATACAGGCAAAACGGGGAAAAAACACTAAAACTAGACATCATCTAAGGATGCATTTATAGAAACAGTGGGATACAGGAGACAATCAGTTCTTGCAGCAGGCAAGGCGTTACAGAGTTACACTGTTGAAGGAAGGACAGAGAAAAGACGTCTGAGGAGACAGATTAAGAGACAGAAAGACAACACAGTGCAGTCAGCTCACCGGCAGCGCTCAGTCCTTCAGGGTTGGCGCTCAGCTCCTTCATGTCAACCATGCAGTGTCCCAGATGCTGGGTGCCGTCCTCCATCTGTCCAGCTTGCCCCTCACTTCTCCCTCCTGTTCCTCCACCTCCTCTCCCACCTCCTCCACGAAACATCACAGTCCAGTCCAGCTCCCCAGCTTACACGCAGCCTGCCAAGCAGAAAAGCTGTCACAAAGATAGCGATCCGCTCGCCTCGCTTTCTTGCTGCCTCACAGTGCGCTCTCTGTCAGCATTAAAGATGCCTTTTGGAAACTAATATGGAAGAGAGGGACCGGCGAGGGACCTGGAGCAGCAACGGGAGGGAGGGAGGGAGGAGGGGAGGGAGAGAGAGGTGAGCAAGAGAGAGACGGGAAGGGAGGAGTGATGAGGGAGTGAGACTCGGAATGAAAGAGAAAGCAGGACAGAATTGATGTTATGTGCGATACACAGCTCTATCCATCAATCTTGGGCTGTCAGTGGGGCACCTAGACCCGACTGCACCGCGCAACGCAGCCAGAAAGACACAACTCTGCCCTCTCTCTCCCCATCTCTCCCCCCTTCTCGCCTCTCACTGCGCAGCCACTGCTGCATCCAGACATGACAGCAGGGGTCCCTCTGATTTCTGACATCCATCTCCCTCCCCTTCTCTCCTTTTTCTACAGAAACAATTAACAAGCATCTGACTGTTGAGCTCCATTCAGTGAAGACGGAATCATGCTGCATGTGGTTTCAGAAGTTACAAGATAGACAAAATGCTGCGGGTATAGAGAGCATAATGACAGCTTTCCGTGCGGTGCAATGTGATAGCTGAGCATAACCCCATATTGTAACTTCTCCACAGTGTTAAATCAACAGGTTAAAGAGGCAAAGTGCCACAGATAGAGAATATTTCCAGCTGTCTTGACAAAATGTATCTGCCTCTCAGTGCACATCTGGACTGCCCACCTGCAAATACTTACAGAATGAGGTGACAAAAGATCTTGTTTTAATTAGCCATCATATATGAAAAAGAAGTTCAGAGGCAGAATGATGCAGCTGTCTTCCTCTCATCTTCTCTCTGTCTGTATTTGTTGCCTTCCCTGCCTCTCCTCTGACTCATAGTGAGAAGGTTATTGTTAGTTATTTGGCCACTGAAACCATGAGCTACAGTAAGACCATATCTGAGATCAATGTTAATTTATACCCTGCTGAATGGAGAGAGTGTAGTAATCTCAGCTAAGGCTCAATAAAGCATAGAAGGCAACAGCCTTAAAATCCTAAAGGAGGTAAACACCTACAGAATATTTTATTTTATGGCATACCAAGACAGGTAGCACCACTCTGAATTCATAACACTGAAATGTCAGACAATAAACATCAACTAAAGTGATAAGTAGCAGCTTTTAATATGTTATTTAAAAAATGGTTAAAAGCAAGTAGTTATCACAATCTTTCATAGTATGAGCATATTTTTACATTTCTAATTTTTTTTTGTTTAAGCAGGTAGCACCTGCTTGTTTCACTCTTTGGGTGTAAATGACTAACAAACAAACTTGACTCATCCAGGACTGGTGTCACAAAAGATATATTTCAAACCCAAATTACAAACTAGGAGTTTTCCCCTTCAGACGATCAACCAGCACGTCGACAAAGAGATCCTGTTTGCTTCATTCAGTGCGCCAGCAGAGTCGAGAGTTGTGGCAGGACAAGTCGTGGCTGCTTCACCATGACAACGCGCCTGCTCACAATGCCCTGAGCATCCGACAGTTCCTGGCTGAGAAGAACATCACTGTGCTGGAGCAACCTCCCTACTCACCCCACCTGGCTCCATGGGATTTTTCCCTCTTCCCCAAGCTCAAGGGGGTCATCAAGGGGACCCGTTTGGAAGACGTGAACGACATCAAGATGGCTGTGATGACGGAGCTGAGGAGAATCCCGGAAGAATCCTTCCAGAAGTGCATGGCAGCGTGGCAGAGAAGGCTGGGGAAGCGTCTTAGACTCCAGGGGGATTACTTCAAAGGGGAAAACTTGTAGATTGGATTTGAAATATATCCTTTGTTAAACCAGTCTTGAAAGCTTTCTGACACACCTCATAACCATACTAATAGTTCTGCATTCTTTAGGTCATTAACACCAAAACGCTTCCATTTTATATTTCTGTAAAGACTTTGGCACAGATTTTCCGACTGGGGTATTTAAAGTCCCTCGACTGTCACTGAATAAACCCTTAAAAACTCAACTTTGTGTATCAAAGTTACATATTAAGAAGATTTTCTTAAATAAAAATATTGTGTATAGGCATATCTGTGAAGTCCTAGCTTCTCTTTATACCCACCCCTTCACAACCTCCTGCAGCTCGAGCACACCAGCTCACATACAACTCTGCTCAGACAAATGGCAAATGCCCCGCGCTTAAGTAGCACTTAGCCAGGTTCCACAAAGCGCATTACAATCTGTTTCTCATTTAGCCAGTCTCTCACACACACACACACCACTGGAGGCAGAGCCATCCTTGAGATTCTTGGACAACCTGCTCCACCACCTGAGCCACCTGTCAGCTACTTAACACTACGCGTTCAGAAGTCTGATATGCATGCTTTTGAGACTGTTATCTGTATGCTGCAGCTTCAAGGCAGAAGTGCTCTGCCATTGTGTTGACTGCTTATTTCAGTCATGATGTGTCTTACAGCATATAAAAAACAGCACCAGGACATTGTTTTTAACTGCAGGGGATCTTTAAACCCCACCCCTCATGAATACAAGGAGCCAGACAGAAAGCCAGAAAGACCCTATCGTTTGTTGTTGGTTTTTGACTCTCTATTTCCATTTGCATGTTTTGTGTGTGTGTGTGTGTGTTTCTGCATGTCTTGGTTCTTGCTTTGCATCATTGTGGTTACACCTGTTTGCAGTCATTTCGAAGCAGTTTGTGTTTGTTGTTTCTTTTAATTTTATTTTTGGATTTTCCCAACAAGAAATGTTAACAGTCGGAGGTCAAACAAAGACTCTGGGCCTAGATCTGTGCTGGATAGGTCCCTTACAGTGAGCCATTCATGTTTGAAATCATTTTTAAACCCTTCGGGAATGAACTGGTGTCCATTTATTTCGGCACACACACAAAAAATTGGCACAGAACTGAAACTAGCACTAGGCTGATGTAAATGTGATATTTTCCACATCGATTCTCTCATAATCTTGCAAACTAAATGTTGTTTCATGTATTATATATTTTATGTGCTGTAACTCATTGTTTCCGATTGCATTATTCATCAAAACAGTAATTTAAAAAATCATCAAATTGTGCTAGGACCTGGCTTTTGATTTTTCTGATCTGGACTGTAACAGGTTTTTTTCATATGTTTACAAACACAGTTGACATTCTTTTCTTATCGTACTTGTTCATATACAGTCAAGCAGGCGAAATTCAAGATTTTTTTAAAATAGAAAACTCAGCTCACACAGTAGCTTTAAAAAAAAAGTAATGGTAGTCAAACTATAGATACAGGCCAAGAGGGCTGAGGAGCCATGTGGAGTTCATGTGCTTTCTTAAGGCGGCTGGTCTCGGTTGGGGTTGGTGCCAAAAACCTAAATGAAGATAAATTGGTCCCTGCAGGAGCAATAAGACAGAAGATGAATCCACTCTGCACAAGGAGGTTTCTTCTTCACTTTCTACAACTCTCTCCATCCTTATCCCTTCATCCCTCTATTGCCACATTCTCCTTGTTTTCCACCCCCTTTACTCCGTAAACCATCAAGATGAATGTTATCTTCTTCTGTTTAAATGAAAATGTGGTGGCGCACACATACACACAGAAACGATTGTGTGCGTGGGCGCGTGCAGTCACACAGACAACCCGGCAGAAACTCAAACAGGTCTGCGGAGTGATCCATTAACATTCTAATACGTTTCTTTTAAAGGCGACATGTGTTGTCTTATTAAAGCCTGACTGATAGAGGGGGCTGGAGAAAATCAATAGACAATGCACTAGAGATGGTGAATAGTACAAGTACACCGAGGAGAGGAGAAGAAAATAAACATGCCCTTTTTAGCTATTCGGCCCCAAAGCCCGGAGAATAGATCCTCACATTTACCCATTCCAATAGCACTTGAGGCCCATTAGAATCTGAGATACACTCCTTCACAGTATTAACTGAGGAGAGCCAATAGCTTGATTCACACTTTGGGGTGCATGCTGCCCCTGCCAGGGTTACACAGTTGTAGTGCAGTAAAGGACGCAGCGGGAGACATCCCATTCCCATGGCGTAAGTACACATCGTAGCAGAACTGAGCAGGCTCGGTAATTACTGGGGTCAGGCTCTCTGGCCTCACTTAAACCAGCGTCTTAAATCCCAGTACATGAAATATTACATCTGTTCATTTATATATGTGCTAGCACAGGGATTGCAGTTTGTTTTGGTGTCTTTTAAAACATCTATCGGGCATTAATGTTTAATTTGTGGTCACAGAAATCAACACTGTGGCAACCACAAGAACAATAACAACAACATTCAAGCATTCACCTTCTAGACAGCCACCCCTGCTGGGTGCCCTTTCCTTGATTTTAACATGTTTGTGGCAAAAATGTATGACACAACAAAGAAAGAAGCCCCTGCACACATTGGGTGACAGCACACAAAAACACTGAGAATCAGTTTAAATCTCCCAGCTTTCTCAGTTTAAAGCTTACGGCATCAACAAACAGCCTAATACAAGATGATATATATATATAGTGCTTTGAGTTCTTTCTAGTGGTAAATATTTGTTAAATAATGAAACACTACTGCTCTTGCAGGTTGTGGATCGCTCTGGTTCAATTTCTTATTGAAAAACTGTCTCTTTGGGAACCAGGTTACTCACTGAACACATAGGGATAAATCAAAGCAAAAGTATACACATGCAATAGTATCACACTTCAAAAATAACTGCAAACGAAACACCAAACTACCAGAATGAACAATCCTGTAAGAATCGGTCGACATTTCAGTGGATCATCTGAGAGGAAAAGATGACCTAAGGAAACCTTCACATTTTAGCCATTTTAGCCAAACACAACATTTATATGTCAATTTGTACATGCTGTAGTTGTTCT